GATGACATTATGGTTGCTAACCCTACGGTAATGGAAATATGTCAAGCTGGTAGACCGAAAAACACCAACCGTATCCCCTCACAAGGTGAAGAACCGATAGTAAGAAGATGTAGTAGATGTCATAGTACACAACATAATACAAGGACGTGCACAGAAATTGTCCCTAAGAAGCAAAAGAAGAGTAGAAAACATAGTGGTGTGTCAGGAAGTGGGACAAAAGCGACAGAAAACCAAGGGCCGCAAGCGACATAAAACTAAGGGACTTACGGGACAAAAAACCAAGGAACTTATACGACAGGAAACCAAGGATATCATGCGACAGAAAACCAAGGGTATTACGCGACAGAAAACCAAGGGTATTACGCGACAAAAAATTTAGGGACTTATGAGACAAAAAAATGAAAGGACTTATAGGACAGAAAGTCAAGGGATGCAAGCCACATAAAACCAATGGAGGCAATACGAAGACAGAGCTTACTATCCGTTGTTCGATTTAAGTAATTGAATTTTTTTTTGAAATATGATTTTTATGAAATTTGTATAAGACAAAAAGTTGAGTTTTCCAACCAACTTCCGCATTGCTATTTCAAATCTTGAACCGGTTATTAAACAAAATTCGGTTTCACCATATTCCACAATCCTCCCTTGTAACTTGAACCGAAACCTCCCAGCCCTGGCTACCAGGTCATCAAACCTCATGCAACATCATCAAATGACAGAGCATTGGGTCACCATTCACGATGAGCATACCGATGAATGTCCCAAACGGTGTCTCTCGAAATAATTTCATTCACCTAGTATTGAGTCCTGGGATGACATTCCTCAAGACTGTCCCCACCACCCCTTTAAAAGTTAATTGTGGAGCCCATTCATACATATTATGCTACAAAAGACAACATATATATATATATATATATATATATATATATATATATATATATATATATATATATATATATATATATATATATATATTACCAATCAAAAAGAAGTATATAGCATTATTTTAAGAAATTATAAAGAATTTTGAAATTATATCAAAACAAAAGGGTTTTTATTTGGAAAAAAATAAATGAAGTTGCTTAATAAAACCAACAACCGGTTAAATTAAAGATTCATCAATCAACAACTTTTAAAAAAAATCCTATTTTTAAAAAAAAAAAAATACCAATTCTGCAGAGTAGAGAACAAAGGATCCGTAGAGTAGCTCTCTGCGGATCTGTTCTTCATTGATCATGCTCTGCGGATCTGTTCTTCGCTGACATTTTTTGTACGCTCTTTTAACTAGGTTTCAGTTCTATACACCACATATCTATGACATTTCAACTATAAAGCTATAAAGCTACGTTCTAATGACATTTATAAGCTAGGGTTTCAATGACATTTACAAAGGAAGATGATGAAGTTACCTGGGTTCCATATCCATCTGCTAACACATCTTCATTTAGATACTGCTTCTTCCGCGATCTCTTAACAATTACGTTCGGTTTCCGGCAACGTCCAAATAGGCTAATTTCCGATCAACTTCAACTTCTTCCGCAAATATAGCTTCATTACGCACCCCACCCTATTTGAACCAGGATTCCCTTTCGTTTCTTTTTGCAATTTTACTAATTTACCCCTCACACCTCATTTCCTCAGAGGATAACGACTTCCGCATAACTTCTCTCTGCAGAACTCGTGGTCATTTTCCGAAAACCAAAATTTCTTGGTCATTTTTCTCAAACATCCCCCTCTTTTTGGTCATTTCACAAATTTTCCTGTGATTCAATGACGATTCTATTATTATTGTAACTATTTAATTCTTGGGTAAATTACATGGATTGTATCTAACCTGTCAATGGGGCGGGTTTGGAGCGAATCACCATTGATCCAAACCCGTTTAAAAAAATAAAAACATGACCCGCCCCGCTCCAATAACCCTCAGGGTCTTGAATAGTCGAATCCATACCCGTATCCACCGAATCAACGAATACCCGACCCATTAACCCAACCCTTTTATAATATTAAATTTTCGTAATTTTTATGTGTTCCACAAAGTAATATTTCTCAAAAGGATAAAATGTCTACTTAAACAAGATGTACATTAATTAATACTCAAAGTCCAATACAATAAAAATCACATTTTACTTAGACATCGAGTTGTATATTTTGTTGTCATATATATATATATATATATATATATATATATATATATATATATATATATATATATATATATATATATTAAATGGGGCGGGTCATAAGTGGAGCGAATCGACCATGATCCATACCCGACCCATTTGCTAAAAGGGTAAACGGGTATGGATCGTAAACGGGTAAACGAATCAAAAATTAAAATCAAAACCCGTTAAATTCTTACGGGTTTGGAGCGAATCAGGGTCAAAATCCGCCCCATTGACAGGTCTAGACTCTCTATGGTTTAGGGTAATCTGTGTGCTTGGTCCATAACAATTTTTTTTAACTCGGACCGTCCCTACTTTTTATTTTTGTTGCACGCTTGGTCCCTGTCCGTTCTAAAAAGAGTAATATGCCATTGTCTAATTTTTTATCTTTATATTAATTGTTTATAAATTACTTTTTTTGTTTATATATTTATAAATATTAAATGGGCCCCACTCATCTCCTCCAACTGATATCCTCTAACGCCAGCTTTGTCTTCTCCGACTATACTGTCTCCCATATTGCCAAAAAAAAAATAACCGAACCAAAACTGAATTTCAACCAGAAAAACATCAAAAACTGATTATTAACAAACTTGCATCAAATGCTTAAATTGATTTCAACTAAAAAAAAATCAAAATCATATTTGTAACAGACGTGAAACAAATGCAGGAAAATAAAAACAATTGTAGTCTATGATTTCAACCAGGAAAAACCGATTTCAATCAATGATTTCAACTAGAAAAAAAGTCAAAACCTAATTTCTTACAAGCCTCCATCAAATCCATATTTTTTTTTCAAAAACACATCTTTAATTCATGTTCCAAAAGTTGCTGGTGTTCCAAGAATCCATGTCAAAGCAAGAAAAAAAAGTCGTTGATTTTTCAGACCTAACTATGTTGTATCTCGTTGAGTTCCTAATTTGAGATGAGTTTTTTTTGTCTAAAGTATAATATTCAAAAATTAAATTGAAAGAAGCTTGATGTGGTGATTTTGCACAATAGAACTTGATCACCACCATCACCCCTTCCACCGGTTCCCGACATCTCCTATGTCACCGTAACACCAAACCTTGTTGGTATTTTAACATTTTTCGTGGAGGGAAAGTTTGAGTCACAACGAAGAAGACGAGGAGGGGGGGGGGGGATGTCCGCCTTTTTATTTATGGTGGTGTCAACATCGGACTCTTTGGTTTCTCCGGCTTCCTCCACCTTCTCTGGTGATCTGGTTTCTGTAAAGGTTTTCCCGATCTGATTTCTCTAATTGGTTTAATTTTTCGAGTTTCCTTCTATTGTGACATGTTCGCAGATGGTTTGGATGTTGAACGATGGATCCGACTTGGGTGCTTGCCTGAGAACATAATCACAAGAGAATCGTTAAAGGACGACCGGGTGTTCTCCCGGGACGTCACTCTGACGATCAAGTTAGTTTTCTGAGAGGGAGAGAAAATCTGGGGGTAATTTTCATAAGAGAGAAGATGGATCTCTTCCTTGATCCGGAAGAGATCCTTTTATACCTGTTACTAACGGATTGTGGGGACCGTCTCTCGTGAGCGTGATACGTGGCCTCCTCTAACTGGGAGAGCTATTCACGCTAACTAACCGTCAGGAGACGTCAGTTCTGGGCGTCACCCGGTCTACTTGTTGCTCTCTCATTGGTTGTGAGTGAATGAGGAGATCACGTGAGATGTTCTTCCCTTGTGACAAGGAATGAGTTGTCGCTCCGGCCTTGGCTCTCTGAGGCCAAGACCGGGTCTCATTCAAAGTAGTAACGTCTCTGTTACATTTAACGTGGCTGTTAGGTAACGTTAATACCTTCAGATTTAGGGATAAGCAAAGGAACCGACCCGGTTGGAACCAGCCCGGGAGCCGAACTTGGTGGAAAATAGGAACCGAACCGGACTGCCGGTTCTTGCCGTGTCTTCAAATGTTGGAACCGGTCCTCGAGAAATAGCAATATAAGGTTCCGGTTTTTTCCGGTTCTACCGGTTCCGGTTTCAAAAATCCACAAGAATATCGTCCCGGTCCCGGCCCGACCGGTTCCATCGGGTTCCAGTTCTGGTACTGGTGCCGGTTCCCCGGTCCATATGCTCATCCCTATTCAGATTTATTGGTATCTTTTCGTAGTTTCTTCGGTGAAACGTTTGTTACTGGTGGTGGTTTTCCGACAGCCTTGTTGGAGAAGACAAAGAGGTTGGAGGTGGTTGGGTGGAGGATTATCGGAAGAAGAGGTGAACGGGAGCGGGAGGACGGAGGGGTGGGTTGGATTCATGGAGGAGGTGGATCATCTTATATAATTATGTTTTTTTTTTTTTTTAAATAATAATAATCATAATATAAATAATAAATAAATAAATAAATAAATGGATGAGGGTAAATTAGTCTTTTTAACACGGACATGTACCGAACGTACAACAAAAATAAAAAGTAGAGACGGTCCGAGTTAAAAAAAGTTGTTAAAAACCAAACACACAGATTACCCTGTATCACAGGGACCATCCGTGTAATTTATCTTTAATTCTTATCGTTGTACCATGATGAGATGTATTAATTTATTGTTTGTATGTTTTATTAATTATATAAAAAAACGTAACATTCTTATATAATTTCGTTCCATGTAACCACACATATTATTCTAACCTGGTGATGTTTGATTTCTTCTCGTAAAAAGTCATACTTGGAGGGTGTTTCAACATGGTCTCATCATGTATAATAATAATAATAATAATAATAATAATAATAATAATGCTATTAAATAAAATAAAATAAAACTGATATCACATTAATATATCATATCAATCCAGTATAAAAGGGGCTGCTTCCTTCTTATGCTTCTTCATATACTGATTGTACCAACAATGGAGGACAAAAGGTACATTCATATTCAGCCATATACATACATACATACATACATACATACATACTCTATCAAAAACGTTCTCACGATAGCGAATTGTGATGTTTGTTTTTAAATTTCAGATGCGCGCTTGTCACAGGAGGAAACAAAGGAATTGGGTTTGAGATATGTCGTCAATTGGCCTCCAATGGAATCAAAGTCGTATTAACGGATAGAGACGAGAGTTTGGGCGCCAAAGTTGTTCAGCAACTCAATGTTTCAGGCTTCCCAGATGTTGTTTTTCATCAACTCGATATCAAAGATCCAGTCAGCATCTCTCGAACAGTTGATTTTGTGAAAGCCCACTTCAAAAAACTCGATATCTTGGTCAATATTCCCTCATTATATATAGCAGTCAAACTTTACAATACAAAACCAGTTTTTCAAGATTACGATATTACTAATAAACCAATCTATTTCGTTTACTAAAAAAATATAATTTGTGTGCAGGTCAATAATGCAGGACATATGGGCATTATCATCCTAAACGAAGAAAAATTTAGAGCAGGAGAAGGATTCGTAAGCATTATATATACCTGCATATGATTAACGTGTCGTATCTTAAAACGTGAATTTGATTTGGTGTTGATATACGTATAGGTGCAAGTTTTGGACGAAAAGGCGCACCTTTTAACCGATATTTTGAAGCAAACTTATGAATTGGCAGAAGAATGTATAAAAACAAATTACTACGGAACTAAAGCTGTAACGAAGGCGTTTCTTCCTCTTCTCCAACTCTCCAACTCCCCGAGAATCGTCAACATTACTTCCAGTTATGGCGAGCTATTCGTAAGTCAATATTGCATGTATTCACGAAATTAAACATCATATTAGAAAGAAAAACAAAGCAGGTGATTTTTTTACCCGTTATTCCAGTTTATTCATAATGAGAAGGTGAGAAATGAGCTAAGAGATATGAAGAACGTAACAGAAGAAAGGGTGGATGAGATAACTGGATGGTTTTTGAGGGACTTGAAGGCCGGTAAACTGGAGGAAAACGGATGGCCGCTAACAGTATCTGCTTATAAAGTCTCGAAAGCTGCCATTAATGCTTACACAAGGCTTATGGCCAAAGAATATCCGAAGATGCTTATAAACTGTGTGCATCCTGGTTATGTGATCACAGATATGTCAGCTCAAACAGGATACATTACCCCGGAAGAAGGTGCTAAAGCCCCGGTTATGGTTGCTTTGTTGCCTAACGATGGTCCTTCCGGAAAATACTTTAGTCAATTGGAAATATCCCCAGTTTGAATGAGTATTGAAGATTAATATTCAACTTCCAGAAAGACAGAAAGTGCAGGGGTCGGATCTAGATAAAGGAAAAGTCTTAGTTTGGGTTGACTTTGACTTTATATAGTTTTGTATATCAGATTGCAAAAAGTCACTTTTCATTCCCAGTTTTCAAGCTTTCGTTCATAGAGGAATAAAACTAAAGTGCCATAATATTTGGTAATTTAAAGCATCTTGTTGTCTAATTTCATTTCATAAACATAGGCAAAACACGTATCTGCTCAACAAAAACCATTACATGCAGCATTCGATCGAATATATATTTTATTGTGGATTCATAAGAATATAGTATTATTTATTTATTTTTTGCATCTCCACTTGGATTCTAAGAGTCCCTAGATCATAATATTGTTCAGATCTGAAAGATGGAATGGATTTGAGGCATGCATGAAAGATCGAAGCTCATTTCTTCACTTTTGACCTAGAAAGAGGTTAGATCATGTATGGTGCATGCATGACCATAAAGGAAACATTTTTTATGGACCTTAGGAGCCCCCTTTATGTTCCGGATGAAATGGGTTCAAGGACATAATGGGTTAAGGACTTAAAATGTTAACCTTTAGCCACAGACAACACTCACGACGTGAGATGCAAGATCTCACAACGTGAGATTCGAGCAACCCCCGTTTTCTGTTAAGATCATTGAAGCTCACAACATGAGGAAGAGTGCTTACATCATGATGACAACTCATGTGAATTCTTTAACTGAGTTGACTAGGTTGGACCGAGTCGAGATGGAATCGGATTGAGAACGTTGTCACGAAGTGACCAAGGTCTGGACACGACGTGAGTGTTAACTAATGGAAATGTTGACCGTTGACTTTGACCTTGACCAGGGTTGACCAAGTTTGACTTAAGGATATTCTTAGTATTTTGGATTGTGTTGAGAATTTGGTAATTTGGTTGGATAGGTGGCGGTTAGAACTGAGATTTGGAGTTGGGACCTCATCAGCTATTGTTCAGACTGTGAGGTGAGTTTGCCTCACTGTACTTTCGGGTCGAAGGCACCAAGGCCGACCCATTGGATTAGATATCATGTTATGTGATAGTATGTTATCGTGCTGTAGTGATCTGTTAGATCGGTATCCTGGTATATAAGATGATGCTATGCTTAGTGATCTGTAAGATCTGTCTGATTGACTGTTGACTGGTTATGTGTATGTTTATCTGTTATGTATATGACGACATGTTGTATGTGGTTGGCTTGAGGCGGACCAGTGTAGAGTGAAGGCCAAGAGACCCAGGGTGTCCCAGACAGATTGCGGGCCTGAGAGGCGTACCAGTCAGGCCGAAGGCTGATCGAAGTCGTTGTCTCGGTCAAAAATAAACCTCACACATACACTAGATAGCTAGGATAAGTAAGGGTCGAATCCACGAGGAGATTGTGGTCAAACTTTGTATTAAAATAGTCAAAAAGAAAGAACGAGTACTTGCAATTTTCACGAAAAAAAAATATTTAAGCTAAGATTTAACTAAAAACTAGAATTTATATTCCAAAGGATTACCAATAAGAAAAATAAGGTTACTTCTAGTTCAGTGTCGGATGAATTAAAGTCACGTGTTTATCTTCCCTTAAATTCCAATTTAATTATGAAAACATTACTAAGGTCAATTAATATGCAATAAATAACATTGGGCACACAATATGTTATTCCTACTAATTGTCTTACTCCCTATGTCTAAATAGATTAGTAATAATGAGTGGCTTGACAATATTGTGTCTAATGATTATCAATTACAATGTTTAGCATTTAAAATCACAAGTTTGGAATAGTATATGTTGATTCAACGATCGTCTTAGTTCCTAAACTATATAAACTCGGCACATTTAGTGAATTTGACAATATACTATCTTAATTGTAAAATTAAACACATGAATAAAACCCAACTTCAATTATCATTAATAGAAATTATAAATTTAAGAACATATAATAACCAAAGTTGATTGGAATAAAAGTAATAATCAAAACACGTTCATCAAATCATCCTAAACATTCCCGGAAGTAACCATAAATGGTTTAGCTTTTCATAAAATTCACAAAACACACAACTAGGATAAAAACAATTAAATCTAATGTAAGATCCATAAAGAAACTAAGAATCATAAAGCTAATGATGTTTAATAATCATTAAAGCATAGAACAACGAGACCTTGGGGAGAAAGTAATCAATTCTGGAACTTGATAGAACTTGTAACATCCCAAAAATACAACCCAAAAATTTTTGTTTGAAAACTTTACTAAACCATAATATCAAATATTAAAAGATAAATCCATGGATCATGCGTCTCAAAATGTCATAATAAATTTATCAAATCAACTGGTGTCAAAACATATCAAAATATCCGAATAAAACTCACAGGATTAACTGAAGCTGTGGTGTGTGCCATGCCATCATCCCGAGCTCTTCCCCTTACTAGCGGAAGTACCTGAAACCAAAAACTGAAACTGTAAGCAAAAAGCTTAGTGAGCTCCCCCAATCTACCACATACCATACAATAACATATAAAGCAACTACTGGGCCTTGCCCACTGAGGAATGAGAAGAGCCCTCTCCCTGAACTTGGCGGTAATCTCCGCCACTGTCTCTGTAGTCTGGGTGAGATCCTGAAACTCCCTGGCTAACTGCTGCACCTCAATAACCGGTGCAAACTCAGCTCTGAACCTGGTAGTAAAATCAGCCCAAGTCATCGCATCAAGCGTTGCGTCATACCCGATGGCATGCCCGATCTCCTCCCACCAATCTCGTGCCCTGTCCTTCAGAAGACAGGATGCTAGTCTGACCTTGTCCCCCTCGGGACATCTGCTGGTGCGGAACGCATTGGCGACATCCGCCAACCACCTGGTACTCGCAATGGGATCCCGCGCCCCATGGTAGTCTGGAGCTCCACAAGCCCGGAACTCCCTGAAGGTGAGTGTGCGCGACCCCATCATGGCCGCCACCTCAGCACGGAAGGTGCTCAACCTCTCGTCCATCAGCTCTAAAATACCCTCCTTGATCGAACCGAAGATCACCGGAGTCTGCTCAAGTATGGTGCCAGTAACCTCTGAAGAGAGGAACTCTCTGGTCTGCTCATCTAGATGCTCGGCCCCCGAGCCTGATCCTAATCCCTCGCTGGCTCCTGAACTGCCGACTGCAGGCCTAGGGCGTAAAACCACCATTCTGAAAACACATCATGACAAACGTCAGAAACACTGATATGTCTCGAGGGATCGCTACTACTACAAGTTTCCTGGTCTCATCTCAGCCTTCCTTGATTCAAGTACGGATCCTCTGCTTTCAGTAGTACGGGCCCATACTACCTTCCACATCTATCCGTACTTTCCTCAAGTACTGCCTCGACTCCACCAAGTCACTTCTACTGCTACTGATCTCTGCTACTCTCATCCTAGGCTTGCCCTAGGGAAATCTCTGACTCCACCCAATCCAGTCCTCAGCTGCTCAAGGCCTCCTTGTAATGCCAATTAGCCATCACCTGAATACCATCACATGTGACGAGGCTCAGATAATCTTTCGAGTAAAAGACTCGTCCCTACAACGGTTAGACTCAAACAAGAGCTGCGCAATAGGGCCAAATCCAGCACTCTGAGATTATTCAACCCTGATCACATGTGACGTGACGTATTCACCTAATGGCTAACTCCCATCACTCCGAGTCCTACAAAGCACGAAGCAAGCAGCATTCGGACACAGGAAATTACTCAAGCAAATCTATCCTCATAACGAGAAACTGTACTAGCATAAAATGCTAAGCTCATACTATCAGGTATAACCTAAACAGGCTATCCTACTGTTGTCTACTCAATACTAGCATGCAATTCTCAATAAGCTGAAACACATATAACATGCACATAAGGCATCCTCCTAGATCCTTAGTCCTATTCTAGCATGCTGTTCTACTGAAACTGGAACTGATAATTATAACATAAACTTGTATGGGTAATTTGGGAGTACTTACTTGAGCTCGGCTAATCGCATGCACCACACCCTTTTCTTTTTCTCAAAACTCTTTTCTTTTTAAGTTTCTTTTTTCAAAAATTCCTTCGAAAACATTTTTCTTTTGAAAATCTTTTACCATTTCCTTAGTTTGAGTCCAGTCATACCCGAAAGTGTGCCTGAATGCCTCAAACCAAGGCTCTGATACCAACTTGTAACATCCCAAAAATACAACCCAAAAAATTTCGTTTGAAAACTTTACTAAACCATAATATCAAATATTAAAAGATAAATCCATGGATCATGCGTCTCAAAATGTCATAATAAATTTATCAAATCAACTGGTGTCAAAACATATCAAAATATCCGAATAAAATTCCCAGGATTAACTGAAGCTGTGGTGTGTGCCATGCCATCATCCCGAGCTCTTCCCCTTACTAGCGGAAGTACCTGAAACCAAAAACTGAAACTGTAAGCACAAAGCTTAGTGAGCTCCCCCAATCTACCACATACCATACAATAACATATAAAGCAACTACTGGGCCTTGCCCACTGCATCAGACCGAAGTCCGGAACTAACCAGGGCCTTGCCCTCTGCATCGGACCGAAGTCCGGAAACTGCATCGGACTGAAGTCCGGAACTAACCAGGGCCTTGCCCTCTGCATCGGACCGAAGTCCGGAACTAACCAGGGCCTTGCCCTCTGCATCGGACCGAAGTCCGGAACTGACTGAACATAGCATATCATAATCATAACTACTAGCATAAACACATATACTGCATACTGTATCGGACCGAAGTCCGGAACACATAACACAAAGACATACTTGAATCACAAAGACATCAAGCACACTGAACTACTGCATCAGACCGAAGTCCGGAACTACTGCTAACTAAACGGGCCGACATTGTGGCCGTAGACCCGTTCCTACTGGAAGGAAACTCACCTCGTAACGCTGGCTGCTGAGGTGCTAAATCTGAGGCTGTCTGACTGCTGCTCCGGAACTCCCCGGCTACAAATCCCATAAACACTAAATCAAATACTGATAACTAATCTCAGGGTAAAATGACTATTTTACCCCTGGTCAAAGTCAACTTCCTGGTTGACTCTACTCGCCGAGTCCTACTATGAAGTCGCCGAGTTCCCGGACTCACACTTCTCTAACTCGCGACTCGACTCGCCGA